CGCTTTTTTTAAATACACGGACTTGGCGAAGAGAAAGAGAGTTTCATTACGTTAAGCAGCACCTAATAGGCAGTATATAAAATAATGGAGCAGCTGAAGTCATTGGAGAAGATGCTATGAGTAGAAACGCTACTGTGTCTCATTAAGGACCCATGGTTGCTAAACTGTTGCTATGCAAAATATTGCCACACCCACCGTGTCTCTCCATTGAAATGTTTAGCAGTTTATATGAGTCACTCGCCTTTTCTGCTAATTTCTAGACAATTTCACAAGTAAAAAGTAAGTCTAAACATTCTATTCTTTTGTTCTGTCAATTTCTAGGTAACGTACACAGGACACCGATCATTTTTGACTGTTGGGGTCAAGAGCTGATCAAATGGTGGGCATGGCTCACCCATTAATAAATTAAGAAAAAATTTTGCAACAGGTGGACCTGGCCCACCCATTCATAAATTATGACAAAATTTTTGAATTCAAAACAAAGCTTTTACATGTAGAGAACATTCATTTCATGATAATATTCTTTGTTTATTAAATTGACGACATGAACACCACAACACGTGAACACAGAAACGTATAGGCTCTATCAGCAGTGATACAGGGCCAGGCTCAAGTTCATTACGTAGCAGTAACTTATCAAATCACTTGAGTGAGCGTATTAGTGCAAAACCAACAGATGTAGCCAGTAGTCCTCGGAATACTCCTGTTCAACGAGTTAATCACTCATTTCACTGTACTACAATAGGAACAGTGTCGTTGCTTCAAATCCAAATGGTATGAACAGTATTGATGGACTGAATATTCAATTGAAAGAGATGCTGGGTTCTGCTATGCCTGTAGATTTTTCGCTCATGCTAGAAATGAGGCAGAAGATTGTTTTGTGTCAATAGGGTTTTGGAATAGGAATGTAATGAGTGTGGGTGTGCACTTGTGTTACTATACATAACTGTGAGAGAGTAACTAATTTTAGAGAGAAAACCACATGTGTTAGTCGATGATTATTACTTTTTGTGATATACTGATTGTTGATTTTGCTATTGTTTGGATTTGGATAAGACAATTATTACATTGGCGCAGTGGGTCTACTATGGCAACTAAGCCAGTAATTTTACCTGAACCATATAGTGGGGACTCTAAGTGCGGTGAATGGGACGAATGGGTCATCCACTTTCAGAATTGCACTGAAGTCAATGGCTGGGAATACGATGCTAAGCTGAAGTTTCTTAAAGTACGGTTGACAGGCAGAGCCCAGTCTGCATTTCAGCGACTACCTAACAACAGTAAGGATACTTATACACATGCTGTAGAGGCCCTCACCG